CCCCCTCCACCCACGACAGCTCCGCTTCGGATTGCAGCCATTTAAACACCCTGAGCAGGGCCAGGTACGCCCCATCTCCCTGCGAGAGCAGGGGCACAGCTCTCTCCGGGCTGACATGCTCCACTTTGCAAGGGGACTAATTAGCGCAAGCAGAGCCCATCAGCATCGTTCCCTGCTTCTGGGGTGGCCCTGCCCAGCCGTGCCCTCCCTAGATCGGGGATTGAACACAGCACTCGGGTTGGTAGTGGCCCCCTGCACCCCAAAGCGACTCCAAATCACTCTGCTTTATAATACAGCTCCCTGCGGTGTCTGAGCCGCTCAGGGGTCAGGGGAGGAAGGTGGCTCCATGTTTCTGAGGAGGATGTTGTTCAGCATCCGAAGGTGCGTGATCAATTCATCCATCCCCCTCCTTGCCCCTCTGGACTACGTGCCCCATGAAGGGCAGGAGGTGGCACGCTGCCGAGTGCTGTACGGGCTGGAGAACCCCAGCATCCTCAGTTCTCCATTTGTCACAATCCTCCAGCAAAAGTGACAGGCTGGGGAAGCTCTGAAGGGCTTCTGAGGAGAGACACCACTTCTGTTAATTATCCTACATGCATGCTCCAACCTTTTCTTGCCACTGGAGAGAAGAGCTCATTTAGAGAGAGGGGGAAAAAAATATAAAGCAATTAAAAGAATAGCTATAAGCCTAGCGAAGAGATAACAAATGACAGAGCAGCAGAATGCTAATGCCATGTTCTTGGCTCCTTGTGAATGGACCTGTACAGCTCATCAGAGAAGTCCTGCTCCAGTGAGCAGATCTCTCCCCAGAGGAGCTGCTGCTCCTCTGCAGCAATGAAAAATGTACGAGATAGAAAAGGTGTTTTTAAAATCCCCAGCCAGGACTAAATTTGTCTGGTCAACAGCCACGCCTGGCCTCTCCCTGCTTTCACAAGGACTGAGAGATGCTCCTTCCTTCCAAAAGGATGCAGAGTGGGTGGGAGTGCTGGCCCAGGGAGCTGGAATATGGGAACTGTGGGTCAGACAAAGCAAGTTTCATCCTGTATTGCAGTAACATTTTTAAAGAGTTTCATCTGGTCATTTGTGACCCTAAAACTTGTTTGATTTCCCATTCACAATGACTTTTTCCTTTTAAAATTGATACACATCATTAGAAAAAGTGAGAAAAGCTATAGATAACTCTGCAAATATAACAGAATTTCCCAGTTGAATATCCATCTAATGTTTCCTAAAGCCTTGTTCTGCCACTAAGCCAAATATATGCATATATATTTAAATATGTGTGTCTACATATCATACACATAATTTGTGTGATTCCAGTAGCACTGATACTAATAGTAACATACCATTACCTCCCCATAAAAGCACTGCTGAAACCTCCTGAAATAGCAGCTAAAACCAATAGTAAAAACCACATAACAACGTCTTGGTTTTGCCTCCTGCTTCAGCTGGGAGGAGGGAAGGAGGGCAGCCAGTGTGAGCAACAGTGAGAAAAACACAACTTGATCATAATTTTTAAGCAACAGCAGGTTTATGAATATCATTTTGCCAAAAAACAAGTGAAATATGTGACACATTTTGCACGTTCCTGCTGCCAGATGAAATAACCAGCGCTGATGCGACTCACAGCACAGTCCATCCGTGGATGCCAGGTTCTTTTATGGAAATACCCGTTAATAAAACCCTGGGGCGGGTGTTCGGAGCCCATGCCCACACTGTCACGTCATTAACCTCCTAGGGACACTTCCCAGGCAGTGAAGAAGAAAGAGAGAGCCTCATGAATGTCCCTGGGTTAATTTGGGGTATCTCATTTCAGTTCAGCACCCTCCCAACCACACCTTGCTGGCAAGGAGGTGTTTCACTGCGGGACTGTGATGCCCGAGACAGAAGCACACGCTGCCCCAGCCGCAGCACAGCTACTCCTGCATCCGTAACCTCCCTTACCTTCCCACTCCTCTGCCCAAATTTTCTCCTTTCCACAGCCTTCCCAACTAAAGCAAGTCAAGAAACTAGTAGAGACGTTCAGTTTATCTACTCCAGTAAGGCAGTTCCCTGCTCCTAAAAATACTCCAGGAAATTGAATCAACATTTTGTAATTTGGCTGGTAACAGCAATTACTAATTATCAGCAGGAACATCATTTTCTTCATTTTCTACTCTATCTATAATGTAATTTCAATATCAAATGGTTTTGCACACTAAACAAACATGATGGGCAATATGAGAAAAGCACAGAGATAAAACTGAGTATCAAAAACCAGGCTTAAAATACATAAACTTCTATCAAATAGCAAATAATTATCATTCAAACAGCCTTTTGGAAAGATAAAGTTAATATTGCTCCTATGTTCCCCTGTAAAAATGAAGGCTCCACTCCACTCCTCTTGCTTGGTGACAGCAGTGCTCAAAATTGCAACCCTAATGCTTGGTTGTGCCAGAGGCTGGAGGCAGCATCCTTCGTGCCCGGCCTCCCACAGACCCGCCGATTTACTGTGCGGGGAACAAAGGACAGGGCAAGGTGAAGAGCACACGCACAGCTTGAAGGACGGTACTGGATGCAAGTCTGCAGTCAAGCAAACTGCTCGCTTCATAGTGAAAAGCACTTTTGCAGAAGAAAGCCCAGCCCTGAAATAGGTTTTCTGGAGACTGAGAGAGCTCTTGCAGATAAAAGAATGAGGAATATTTTCTTCCCTCAGCTTGATAAATTTGCTGTAGGTGTCTGTGCTCTCCAAAACAATAAGCAAGTGCCAATTTCATGCAAGGATTTAACTTGGAAGGGTGACCAACTCATTGCTTTTCCTTCTAGCCAAGAACAGCAGATGCTACGCTGCTCTGTGCAAGTATCAGTCCCTAACGGGTATTGATGACGGGATCAAGCCAGCTTGGCAAAAGAAAAATACTACTGAATTGTGGGAACTCTTGCCACGCTCAGGAGCTGCTCAGAGAGACCCCGCTTGCTGGCAGCACTGCTGCATGACATTTAGAAATGGCAAATTTTCTCTCTGTCCAGTTTAGAAGACATCCCTTACTAAGGCTCAGAGCAAACTGCAGATCCTCTACAATCCCCAAGAAAAAAAATGGACTGCAACCCCACTTCCCATTTCAAGAAGGCCAGAAGAAACATCCACATGCTAACCCCCACATGCCCCGGCTTACGCATCAGCTGTCTACATCCTTCCAAAGGCCAGATGAAAGTTGATAAGCTCAGGCAAGGCTATAAATGATTTCAGAACAGAGGCAGGTGAGCACCCGAGTCCCAGAGTCTGTAGAGGGAGCACCTGGGAGCATCACCTGGAGCTCGGTAAATAGACCCACAAAGGCAAAGGCAACATCTACTGTCTATTGAAGAGGAACTATTACAGAGGATGGATCATTTCCAGATAATTTTAGTAACAAGACCACTTAAGTTCCTTTGATTAATTATTCAGTGAATAGTATATACCAAGCTGGTCTTTGGCATTTCTGGTCTTGGAATAAACTTTGGGAAGCAGACGCATTGGAAAGATGGGATTTTGAGAAACATCACATTTATTTTGCTTTCAGGAATGTCTTCAGCAGCAGCCCCTGTACCAGGTTGATGAGTTTTCTATCTGCTGCTTCAATGCCAGAACACTCCAGAACAATCACTGCTTTCCAGGGGATATTTTGGATGGGTGGCAAGGCATACACCACTCACACAAGCAAGACTAGATCTACCTGCCACCAGAAAGCTTTATAATTAACCAGACTATTATGTTTTTAAGCACTTACTGCAAGACTTGTAATTTAAAATTAGATTCTGTTTTCATCTGCCTTTTGGACAGATTTTTTCTCTCTAGAAGAGCAAGAGTCACACTGGAACACAACTCAAAGCTGGCTTTCATTTGTATTTCCAGCCAGCCTGAACTATGCAGGCTTTTGAAGATGGGTTCCTCTTGGAAAGAGAAAACCTAGCAGCGGGCTGTCCCCTTTGTGCTGGTGCCCAGTGCCATCACTACCTGCTGGCAGGGGCACTCCCACTGGGGCCCTGTGGACCCCACGGCTTCATGCCTGTCCCAAACACTTACTGGGGGCTCAGAAACACCCCAGACCCTGCCAAAGGCAAAGGCAGTCAGACGGGGTGCTGAGGGAGAGACAGCAAAGGCAGGTGGAGGAGGAGGAAACATCAACAGCTAATGAGTTTGTCACCTTAATTTGATAGCTCAGAGCAGCCTGCAAAAGCTTGGTTCTCAGCGGAGTGGTCAGGTGCCATATTTAGTTTCAGCTTTGATGTACTGTCAAACTAAAGCATGCCTAGATCTCTCCTCTGACATCTTCTTTCCCTGCTTTATTGCAGCTGCGATGCAGACAGCTCAGTGCCACTTGTGGGTCCGTCCCTGTGTTGCCTTGCCCAGGCTTTGTGTGGACAGAAGTACAGCCACATTGGGGCTGCTGGGATCAGAGCAGAGGCAAAGCATCTGCAACAGCAGCTGCAGCGCTTGAGCTGGCCTCTGCACAGCTGAATTCCACCTTGAAGAGAAGGGGGCTCATTTCTATTAAGTACTGGAGTGATCACTGCACCCGGGAATGTTTTGGATGGGAGGCAAAGCAGGCATGGTCCAAGTGCAGGGGATACAGAGAGATCACAAAGAGACAAGACCACAGATCATTCCAGTTTGTTGTGTGTAAAACAGCTGGATAGGTCAAACCTTACAGAGATTCACATAGCAAAGCTTTTAGATAAAGTGGAAAAGCTGAAGAGCCATTTAAATGCCCTCCCTGTGGGCATTTGAGATGCCGTGAAGATCGGGTTGCACTAAAGAAAATGGCCTGAAAAAACCACCAAGACAAAAGAAGTCATAGCGGCCATTACAATGAGGCAGAAACCAAGCAGAAATGGAGATTTTGCAAAGTTTTGCAAAGCGAGTTGCACCCCTGCGGCCTCTCTGGTGCTTAGTTCTCCAGAGCAGCACTGCCCCTGCACACTAATGCCGTGGTCCAATGGCTCTGGGAAACAGCGGAGTGTCAGCACAGGGAACTTACTTGGTGTTGTCAGAGTCAATGGTATGAAAGAGCTTCTCAAGTTCTTCTTCGTTGAGTGTCCCGTCAGAAAAAAAGGCCTGGAACTCCTCCAGGGACAGCTTCCCGTCATCTGCAAACAGCAACACAGCCGCCGTTAGGGAATGGGCAAAGTGTGGGGGCACAATGACTGAAAATCAAGAGTTATGTTCAGATTTAAAGTTTCAGCCCAAAATTATCTCCAAGTGCTTGTGCAGAACTGGCCCTCAATCAGTGCAGGGCTCAGTGGCCAGAGGGTGGGACCTGGCAGCTCTGGCAGCACCAGAGCCAGGTGAAGCTTCATTGCTCCTGTGTATGGATGCACTGGCCGTCAGCAACTAATTGGGCTATTAACCCAAAGCATGACTCGAGCCTAACGAGGAAAAGCCTGCAAGCTTCATCCTAAAATTTAATTACATTTAAGAAGTCATGGAGCGTTTCGTCTACCCTATGCTCAAATGATGCAGGATGCTCATTAAGGGACACATAATAGATAAGAAAAGACCCAGGGCTGGAATTAACAACAGACCCAGCCGTATCTTTTGCCATCTCCATCCAGCTGCATCTTCTCCAACACAGTGCATTTCCCTGCTCTGCACAGAAACGCAAAATAGCAGCTACCAAGCATAACAAGCCACATCTTGCTTTGGTTGTCAACTGTTTAAACATACAAGGGCTGTGTCACCTTAATGTTGTGCCTTTACTTCTAAAGGGACCTGATGACGCACAGAATCCATCTGCCCGGCCATACGGGCTGCAGCTTTCTGGGTGCCTTTTGGCAAACCTACCAGCACACGAAGGAGTCACAAGGCAGAGGTTTAATAATGTTCTCCTGGGCACATAGAGAGGAGCTTGCAATAATTTCAGCAGCAAGCTCCAAGCTCAAACTTGAACGTTTATTTTGATACCAGCACAGGCACTTCAGCAGCCTCATCTCCAGCTGTAGGAAGAGGCCCTGCAGATAGTCAGTGCCTGGGGGAAAGTGTCTCTGATCTCAACCCAGAGACTGAAAAACAACATCCAGATTTGAAAATCTGGCCATACACTTTGCGTATTATTTTATGTCCTGGCCCCAGCATTAGTTTAAAACTAGGCTTTCTACAGCCTACTTAAGTGACCAAGAAAGAAAAAATATTATCAAATCCAGGTACAGAGGATATAAGGAGGATTCCTTTGTAACTTTTGCTGATAAGGAGACAAAAGCTTACATTTAACAGTTAAATCTGGAGACTTTTCACTGCGCTGTGGATGGGTACAGCACATCTTTAAAGTCACAGCTGGAAGTAAGAAGGTCTGGAGAAAGCTCCTATGAAGTTCAGCAATAAATGGGAGAGAGGTGAAAGAAACTTTAAAGAAACTTTAATTTACCTCAGGTTTCTTGTTCAAGCTGCTGACACTGTGCTCTGGTGTGCAGCAGTGCTTAGGGGGGGAATAACTAACCCAGGTCATGTGCTATTTAAAATCTCTCCATTCATATCCACAGAAGATTCATAGACTGGAAATGTTGCTTATTTTGCAGTAGGAAAAATGTATCATTTATTACTTAATCATATAAATTATAAACCCTGTTGCTTCTCTTTCAGAAAATGATGCTAGAGGACAAAATTAGACAACTTACCACATATACACCAATATTTTTTTCCCAAACTAAATCAGTCTGCTGCTCCTGAAACGTACCTGCATTGCTAAATGCTACCCCCAGTTTCCCTTGGCTGACACAGATGAATTCAGCCCAGTGATAAATTGAGTCTGAGATACTTATTTAATTGGCAATTATGAAAGGCACACAGCAGAAGAACAAAATCTACAGCAGCACTGGGTGAAAAGGGTATTATCATCAGAGCACCACAATGGCTATGGAGAGCGTCCAGCTGCCTATATCGTTTTTCTGCACTCCTTCCCCAAAACGTGACCTCTTTGCAGCAGGCAGGGTGCAGAATACCAATGCACAGCTCAGAGGATGGCTCCCAGATTTGCTATCTGTTTCCGAATTACAGAAAACTGAAGCTTCAACAAGTACCTTATCGCTTGGAGCATGCCACCAGTGTGACCTGGAGGCTAACCCAGTGGTGGCACGATTTTGCTGAAGGAGATAAAAAGACTGTGCCTGGAGCAAGAGCCCCATCCACATCATCCACCTCTACCCCTGCACATGGCACAACTGGGTGAGGAGCTTCCCCCACAGTGCTCCTATTTATGTAGTATCCTAACCAAGATCAAGGTTTGGTTTCTTCTGATCCTGACTGGCAATGAATATGTCTTCAAGCATCAGGATCAAAAGGATAATGACATTTCTATCACATAAAGGCTAAACAATTCTTTATATATGGTAAACTTTTCCTGTAAACCTGAAATCAGTGCTTGTTCACCTCAAAATTGTCCTTCCGCACAGAGGGCAGGCAGAATGAAATTCCCAGGAAAGTCACATAAATCAACTTACTGGGAAAGAGAAACTGTAAAATGAAGTGATTTTTTTTCAGAAGAGTACTTTAATCAGAATTTACAGTTTGCTCACCTCTGAAAGGCACAAAGGTGTTTCTAAGTTTAAGGAAAAAAATATCTTTTTCCTTTACCTAGTTCATAACTTGTCTCCTCTGTTTCACTCTTGCTTTATTTATTTTTTGAGTAATGTGTGCCAGGCCGCAGTTTTGCTGCAGTCCCTGAAACACTGGTATTTAAAATCTGTGCCAAAATACTGCTCTGACTCCTATATTGCAGCCTCCAAAGTCGCAGGTGAGAACAGGGAGGCAGGTACCAACTACTGTGACAGGTCAGATCATTGAAAGCCAATATGCACTGAATTTCTGTTGGCATTTAACAGCCCAGAGTAATATAGGATGAGCAAAGGACCTAGAGAAAAGAGGAGGTGACAGTGAATTTTATTTCATTTTTCTTGTTTGAAGACCCCACAGAACTGCTTGGCCCCTGGCAGGAATTTGAACAAAAGTACAAATTTTACTCGTAAACAGTGCTCGAGACTTTCATCCCCCAACAAACACCACCACAAAGTACCAGTCGGCTTAAAACTGATAATTATTTAATACAAGCTTGAATACTTGTCTGTAAACAGACAAAGCAAAAGGCTTCCGGAGTAACAAGATAATCCTTGAGCTGCATATCTATAATTGTGAAACAGCCTGAAAGTCGTGGGTTGCTGGAGCCCAGCAGGAAAGGAAACCTTTGGGGAACTTGAGTGATAAGAGGAAGCAGACTGGGCTGGGATTTGGCAGTTAAAATTAAACTGGTAGAAAATCCTGGGCAGGGAGGATTGACCACCGCTTTACCCACACCAGGCCCACGCGCCGGCGTGCGCTGTGATAAGAGCTGATGGAGACACTGTGCTCCAGGAGCGGCCTTATCAGGAAAGTCACAGAAAAGCAAGGTTTTTCTGAAAGCAGAAGTGTCTGAGCTCACCAAAGAATGGATAAGACTTCCAGAAACCTGCTTTCTGCTGAAAGCTGCTGGGTGCGAGAGATATAAATTCTCCAAATGAACTGGCAGGCGTCGTACCAGAGCGGCAGCGTCAATCGTGCGGTTCGATTTCACCCATGCCCAGCCCTGTAGGAGCTCATCTGGGGACACTCCAGCCCTAGGTAGCTACTTTTGATAGGAAGGATAACAAAAAAAATGAGATTCCACACCAAATCTCACTAAACAAACTAAAGTTTCCATCAGTTTTAAGATCTAGACAAGTCTTTGTGGCTTTCATCTGGTCAAGCACACTTCAAGGAGACAGCCTTCTTTCACCTATTCGCCCCCCTCCCCTTTAAACCCAGTACTTGAAGTCAACACCTAAGCTGGCAGCGAGGACAAACAGCACCTACTACATTGGCGCCGATCGACTGAAAAAAGAGATAATCAGGCCAGAGCTATTCTGCCATGATTTTTTTCCTGAGAGAGTAATTTTCATTTTACTCTAGCTTTTCAAAATAATTCAATCACAGGCAAAGACCAAAGCAAATTACCAGCCAAATAGAGTTATCAAAGTTAAAACTAACTGAAGAGAGAAGGATATAACAGAGAACATCAGAAAGCCTCAACTGGGATTTTATTATTGCTCCATTTGCCATTGTGAAAATCTGAGGAGTCTAGAGGCGGCTTTTATGCCTTCTAACTCACACAATCAGGCTGTTCTCACCCGCTAATGCAGCCAGGGGAAAAATCAAACTAAGATCATAAATCGTCCAAAATATAGGAAATCTGATTGCTGAGTTTTCAGAAATTCACTCAGCAATACACATAGCTTAAAGCTTCTACAAAATAAGGTCACTGTTCTGAGCCTGAGTTTACTAAATCCATTTTCAATTATATCAGGTTGCGACTGCTCATATATTTTCTAGGTATATTATGAATATTTTTCATTACTTATTTTTATTACTATGAGTTCTAAAATGCTTTAAGCCCCGCTTAGTGTGCAAGCACCAACAGAGCTATGGGTGAGCAAATTGGATTTTATTGTGGCCTGTGAATAAAGATAACAACTGTGGTTTTTTTCTTCTTTCTTGCAGGTGGGTGTGGGTGTGTCTGCAGATACATGAGCCAGCGAGAACATGGACTGGCTTCTACTCTGGACCCTTTATCCAGCCTCCTTAGAAGTCAGGGGGAGCAGTTTTATTCATTTAAATGAAGCTGGATATAGACTTGAGTTTTCAGTCCTGTGCTGTTAGGAAAAATTACCTTCAGGTCCACAGATCTGATCTGTGATGGATTGGAAAGATGCAGATCAGACACTAACTGTGAGACCTCAAAATATCCCTTTTAACAGAGTTTTTAAACTGCAAAACCTGCCTCGAAAGCTGAATGTTCTCTGTGTTCAGGCAGCTGGACCCGTTCTGGGATTTCTGCAGCGATGAGGACTGCACGGATGGGGATGTCCTGGGCAGGCAGTCCATCACTCATTACCCTGTTTCCCTGTGCCATGGCTCTGGCTAACACAGATACACCGGGAGCTGCGCCCTGAGAATCGGCTGCAAGGAGGAGCCATACTGGACAAGGGAAAGAGTAAAATGAAGCAAACAGGCTCCTAAGCCTGGAGAAAGCCATTTCATCTCCCATTTCCAGAAGAGTTCAGTGTGGGTTTTTTTAGACTGTTTA